TCCTAACTCTGTAGCCTCTAGGGGATAAATACAGACGTCTCCGTAACAATCCCTCAGACTCTACTAAGCTTGTCTGTGAATTGTGAGACCCACGTAACCTAGAGCTCTGATACCAACTTGTCACGACCCGGATTTCCCACCCCCGGGAGTCGTGATGGCGCCTACTAGTGAAATCAAGGCAAGCCAACTAACCGAACTATTTAACCTATTTTCCATTTTCATTTTATTTAATGACCTAGCATCAACAATTTATAACAACATAATTTAACATGCGGAAGAAATAAATTTGAAGTTTAACAGTACATTTAATACCATCCCATAACAAAACCACCCAAGATTTGGTGTCACAACTTCACAGACTGTCTAAGAGTACTACAAATAAGGGTATGAAAGAAATAACAAAATACTGTTTCTAGAACTACATAAGAGAAGCAGGAAAATAGATACAGGGAGACGCCAAGGCCTGTGGACGCCTGCAGGACTACCTCGGGTCGCCTGGTAAGTAGGAATCTGAAACCTTATTACGGTCCGAAATCTGTAGCACCGGGATCTGCACAAAATAGTGCAGAGTGTAGTATCAGCACAACCGACCCCATGTGTTGGTAAGTGCCTAGCCTAACCTCGGCGAAGTAGTGACGAGGCTAGGACCAGACTACCAAATAAACCTGTGCAGTTATATAATATGCAGTAGAAAATAAAACAGGGATAAACAAGCAAAGATGGGAGGGGGTACATGCTGTGGGGTATATCAGTATCAACAGTAAATCAAGAATAAAGGCATATGGACAACTTAGAATTCACAGCGAAACAATAAGGAACTTGTATCCAATCCATAAACACTTTGTATTAGCAATTGTTGCGGCGCGCAACCCGATCCCAACATATAACAACATTGTTGCGGCATGCAACCCGATCCATATCATTTATCACTGTTGCGGCGTGCAATCCGACCCAAATATATCAATGTTGCGGCGTGCAACCCGATCCAAATATATCATTGTTGCGGCGTGCAACTCGATCCCAAATATACAATCAATATCAACCATAACAAGAGTCCCGTCTAGGAATCAATAAGAACTGCACCATCCCGGCAAGGGAGTCAACAATAAGAATGAACACATCCCGGCAAGGAAAAATCAGCTATAACCAAACTTGTTCCAACATCTACTACCTCAACTAACAAAAATGCTCAACCATGAGTAATCTCTACGAGAATAATTATAAACCTTGCTCAACACAGGGAGTCAACAACTTAGGCATTCGTAGTAGTTCTCAATAACACAATAATTTTAATTCATGACTCATGGTCATGCTCGACATCGACGTATAGATACTCGTCACCATGCCTATACATCACGTCGTACTCAACAAGAAACAAGTAGCAAATAGGACACAACTCATAATCCCTCAAGCTAAGGTTAGACCAAACACTTACCTCGATGCCACGAACACAATTCACGTCTCAACTATCGCTTTACCCCTTGATTCCACCACCAATTTGCTCGTATCTAGTCACAAGTTACTTAATTACATCAATAAACGCTAAATGAATCAACCCCGATGCATGAAAATGAGTTTTTCAAAGTTTTACCCAAAAAGTCAAAAATTGCCCCCGGGCCCACATGGTCAAAATCCGAGGTTCGAACCAAAACCCGATTATCCATTCCCCCACAAACCCAAATATATAATTTGTTTTGAAATCGGACCTCAAATCGAGGTCCAAATCCCCAATTTTTGAAAAACCTAGGTTCTACCCAAAACACCCAAATTCCCCCATGAAAATCATTGATTTTGAGTTGAAATCATGTTAAAAGATGTTAATGATTGAAGAAACGAGTTAAAATTGACTTACAATCGATTTGGAAGAAGAGTTGTTCTTGGAAAATCGCCCTGGGGAGTTTTTGTTTTGAAAAGATGTGGAAAAGGGTTATTTTTCGGCTAAGTATAAAAAGTTGTAGGCTGCAGTTATGGGAATTGCGAAGGGAGGTTAGGAAATTCGAACTGGGAATTGCGAAGGGAGGTTGGGAATTAAAAACTGGGAATTGCGAAGGGAGGTTGGGAAATGCGAACTAGGAATTGCGAAGGGAGGTTGGGAAGTGCGAGCTGAGAATTGCGAAGGGAGGTTGGGAAACGCGAACTGGGAATTGCGAAGGGAGGTTAGGAAATGCGAACTGGGAATTGTGAAGGGAGGTTGGGAAATGCGAGTTGGGAATTGCGAAGGGAGGTTGTCAAATGCGAAGCCTGCAGGCCTGCAATTCCTTAAGTCCAAAATTTCACCCCATGGCCTATCCAAAACTCACCCGAGCCCTCGGGGCTCCAAACCAAACATGCAAACACCCTAAAAATATCATATGGACTCGCTCGTGCATTCAAATCACTAAAATAACATCAACAACTATGAATTTAGCATCAAAATCATGAAACTTTCTCAAGACTTCAAATTTCCAATTTTCTCAATAACTATCTGATTCACGTCGTTTCAAGTCCGTTTCTTACCAAATTTTATCGACAACACATATAAATCATATTGAGCCTATACCAGGCTCCGGAACCATAATACGGGCCCGATACCACAGGTTTCACATAACATTTCACTTTCAAAAACCTTTATATTTTTCAGAAAATAATTTCTTTCAAAAATTCATTTCTCGGGCTTGGGACCTCGAAATTCGATTTCGGGCATACGCCCAAGTCCCATATTTTCCTACGGACCCTCCGGGATCGTCAAATCACGGGTCCGGGTCCGGGTCCGTTTACCCAAAATGTTGACCGAAGTCAACTTAATTCATTTTAAAGCTAAATTTTAACATACAGACTTCCGGCTACACGCCCGAACTGCGCACGTAAATCGAGGTAATGCTGAAAGAGGTTTTTTAGGCCTCGAATTACAGAATTTAATTTAAAAACAAGTGATGACCTTTCAGGTCATCACACAAACTTTTCACACGAATATAAAATATCATTGAAGTCTCCTCCTATTAGCCATGGATAATTAAAATTTTCATGCAAATTCATTAAATTTTCCCAAAGTAAATCACATAATTGATAAGAATTACTAGCATAAATTGCAGATAAAAGCCATTTAGGTTTAGTGGGACAGACCTGGATAAGGCAGTGAATTTCTTGTTCAGACGTCCTCAGTTCCTCGAAAATAATTAAAGCTTCATTCCATAGCACAACCAAGCCTCCTACGAGGCCATTAGCGGACACCTGGGCCATGTTAGTGAAATTGAAAGCCTATCAGAGCCCTTCATGGTCCTGCATGTGTGTTTCTAGGAGGATTGCTAGAACTGGCTTGTAATTATCTAACAAAGATCTGAAATGACGCCTAAACTCTGGATTGTGAGAACCCCTACAGTTCCAGACTATAAGATTCATGATATTAGACATGTTGGTTGTGACTGATGGAGTAGGAATCAGTGGATTGACAACAGTTGTTGCCATCTGATCTTGATACTCCAAGACTGAAGCAAGTTGACGAAGATTCGGAATTATCACCATGGAATATTTCCCTGCCTCTCGATTTGTTATTACACGAAGGTTCAGACTGCAAGAGATCATTTCTGGAGGACACTTGAGAATGAATTTTTTTCGTACTGTTCCTTTAGGTTGTAAAGATGGATTCCTTTTAACCATAAGAACTCTGTCCTTGTCTCCCTCAACTCCGCTATAATCTCCGCTAATTCCTGTCTTGTTTGCATGTCTAGTTCAATTGGAGATGGAGGTGGAGTGGGTGGTGGACTTTCCTGTGGTGACAGTGTCTCGAATGGGCTACTGGGACTGGAGTATGGAGATAGAGGATTGAAGGAGTTGAGGTGTTGAAACCATGGAGCATAAATCTGCCCCATGTGGTATGGTGGATACAATGGCAGTAGATTGGTCTTGATGTTGGAACTGGAATCTGAGGATGCATGTGGTAACTCCACTGGTGGGGATTTGAAGTTAATGCTTGATGCTCTAATAGTAGTGGAGTTTGAGTGTTGTATCATTGATTTTGAGCATAACCCTCCATCCTCAATCGCATCCCCTCCATGACTATTTCTGCCAAGTGTGTGGGATTCTGGACAAGGAGAACAACTTACTGATTGTTGAGTTCCCTTATAAACACAAGAGCATAGCCTCATAATCCCATCTCCAACCACGACTGAAGAGGAAGCTCCATCGTATTGGGTTGAGATGTGTAGATTAGAGGAGTGTTTATGTGTGGGAGTTGAGGGCCTTGCATACTCAGGCATGGAAGATGGAAGAAGTGATTGTTTTCCAGGTTCCTCAGGTAAGCTAGGTTGTGATGTGCTGGGAATGTTGGTCTTTGTATTTTGAGTTAGCATAGAAAAGGAAGTTGTTGTAGTAATATTAAGGGAAGATAGGTTCTGGGCAGGTGTGGTAATGTTATTTAGAGAAGAAGTGATTGAGTCAGCAGAGATGTTCTGTGTTTTAATTAGGGGGTCCTGGTGGGTATCACATGCAAAGTAATTATTAGGTTTATGTTGGAAATGGGGTTCGCTAGGGGAGTAGGCTACTGTAGGATGCAACTCATTGTTGCTACTATCTACGTGGATCCTAGAGGGCTCATTAATGGCTTGTGAATAAGAAGAGTTGGCTTATAATGATTGGTCAGTAGTACTATGATGTGGAAGGTGCATCTGATGAGGCGTGTTTAAGTTAACAGGCGTGCTCTGACCTTTAATGCCTAGTAGTGATATAGGGGATGGAGTATTATGGGAATATGTAGAAAAATTGTTATTGGAGGGTAAGTCTGTGGAGTCGTGAATTTTATTGATGAGTAGGTATTCATCTTGTCTTATTCAGATTTAATAATGGACTTAGTATATGGATCGTCACTTAGTGGGCTTGTTGTAGTTATTTTATCCAAGTCCATATAATTACCCAAATGATTTTCTAAGTCAGCTAATCCATTGAATTTGTTACTAAGCAGGTCCGTAGCAGGAGAATTTTTTGATGGTTGGTGGGCCTCAGTACGCCCAGTAACGATAGTATAGTCATCTGTTCCCTGGCTTCGCCGCCCCCTGTGCCACCCTAATGTTGACTGTGTTGCGACTGTTGTTCTGGTGTTGCAAAGATTTCTTTGAAAAACTTACTGTTTTCCACTCTGTTTGTTGAGTTGAGTCATTCTGGGTAGATGTAGAGGAGTTACAAGCAGGTTGAGTTGGTGATTGTTGTGGTGTAAAAAGACAGCTAACATTTGTATGACCAAAGCGCCCACATCTTGTACATAATAGATTAAGTCCCTCGTATAGCAGCATCTGCTTGTGATGTCCTATAAGGATATGGGATTTGAGTGGTTTTTCCAGTGGAACCTCAATACATATGCGCGCATACTTGCCCCTAGTGGTAGATGATGTGCAAGCATCAACCTTTAATAGTTGTCCCAACTTTGATCCCACCTTTTGTAATATTTTCTCATCGTAAAACTCAGTTGGAAGTTCCGGTAAACTAACCCATATGGATGAGTATGTGAGTTGTATAGATGAGGCTATGAATTTTGGCTCCCATTGTCTAACTGATAGAAAATGATTCAGAACAAACCAGGGGCCTCCATGTAGTGACTTCAGCATGTTCTCTTCTTTTTGAAATTTAATGAGGAAGAAGTCAGAGCCTAGATCAATGAGGGGCAGATCTTCGGTTGGATTCCATAAGGCAAGAAGCTTGCTTTGTAGTAGGTGATGTGCGATCTTTCTACCAAATACCTTAACTATTACTGAGTATTTCCATGGTGTATATAAACGGTATTTGTCTTCTGTAGTGATAGGTATAAATATGTCATCATCTTGATTGCTGTGAAGACTTTCATCCGATAGATCCAGTTCATAGTTCATACTCTGTTGTATATGAGGAATTGTTGCGGGGTGTTTATTAGAGATTAGGGTTTGAAGGAAAGATGGTGAAGGTGTGGTTGGTGTTGTATCTTCAATTTTCATCGAGCCTATATCAGGCGGTTCAGTTATTATCTTGTTGTAAGAAGCTTTTGTTGTGGAGTTATTCATTGCTGGTTGAAATTTAGTGTGTTTGTTGTATATGATTATAGTGTATGAAGAAAAGTTGTATAACAGGAAGTAGTATTTGGGTTTTAGAGAAGAAACTCTCACATCTTTCTAAAATTGTTTTGTTTCGGGCACATTTGAATCTTCTTTATTACAACTCCTTTTACGGTTCGGAGAATCTCTGCTTTCGAACATTTTCTATTTCTTTAGTTTAGATTTTTTTTATTCTTCTTGAGTTAGGAGTCCTTACTTTTTTTTTTGGTTGTCTATTTCAATTATACATTTTACCTTACATAACTTTTTCTCAAATTATATTGGCAAACACATTTATAGAAGAAGCTATTATTCTATGGCCTTTGGATAGAGCTACTAACAAAATAAATTTCACACTGAAAAAAATAATTATTAACTATTTTACTAATATTAGTGAATAGTCATTTAATTTTCTTAATGTTCACGATTTTAAAATCAACAAAATTTTGCATATCAAATGCTTTTTTATTTAACTATAGATTTGTTATTAAAAAAAAGCTAATAAAGAAGGTTTGTATATTTTAATTTTTAAATCCTTCGAGAACTTTCAATCCCTTTTAATTTTAGAAGTATTCCTTTCGGTTGAAAAAATGTTAGGTTTATAGGACTAATAAGAGTAAAACGACAAAGCTATTCACTCTTTTGTTGTTGAAATAAACTCTAAATACTATAAAGAAGGTTTGTCTTTTCTTTTTTTTCCTTTTTTTTTGGTATCAAATTGCAATTGATAATATTTCATGAACTATTTAGGGAAAGTTGTTCGTCTTTTTTTCTCTGTATCCATACTTTTTCAGGTCTCAAAAAGAATATAAATAAAAAGAATCATTATCAAGCTCGATTATAGTATTTAATTTTGTAAATAATATCTTTTCTCGGGCATATTTTGGAACTGGAGATAATTGTGTAGTCTGTGATAATTGAAATCACTATCACGCTTTGGGTGCTTCTGAATGTTCCAAAATTATAAGGTCTCTTGCATGTCCTTTTGACTTTTTTTATCAATTTTTCGATGGTGTGTGACTTGCTGGATACATTGTTCAGGTAATATCACTTCTTATTTTCACTTTGTTGTTTTGCTTTTTGTTTGTTTTCGAATTATGCTTATGTACTATTGAGATTTAATTACAAGGAGATTTGCATCAATCATTGTTTGTTCATAGATAATTGATTGAAGATATACGTGCAAAGCACATACATAGAAACTAGTTATTATAAAAGAATGAATAAATTTTAGGTTACAAAAATAACCTTTTAATATTAAGCATAATAACTCACAATAAAAGAATATAATCGAAATTATAGACAATTGCCTCGTAATCCTATTAGTTTTAGGACATAATATATATGTTAGGAATCCTACATGAGAACTTCCACTGTCACGACCCTATTTCATTACCGGTCGTGATGGCGCCCAACACCGTTGTCAGGTAAGCCAACTCTACATATTAGTAAATTCTCGTTTTACTTTACCAAAACAGTTCCGACAATTTATTCATTTGAATCATAAATAAGTGATAATCAGCAATGTACGATAATAATTATACAAATCAAAAGAATAGTCTACTAATGTGTGTGCCAAGACCTGGTGTCACAAGTATATGGGCATCTAGTAGAATACACAAAAGAATAATTCTATCCTACTGTCTGAACTAGAATAGACAGCCAAAGTACAGAGTGACTCCATCACTGTGACGACCCGGCCAGTCGTCTCAAGAGTTACCGCTCTGTTTCTCCCATTTCTGCTTCTTTATGCTTTGTTATGCGTGTTTTATGTGATCAAGTTGATTATTTTGCGTTCGGATTGAATTTGGTAAGAAATGAGACACTTAGTCTCTTTTAAGAAGGTTTAAGTTGGAAAAGGTCAACCGGATGTTGACTTATGTGTTAGAGGGCTCGGATGTGAGTTTCGATGGTTTGGTTAGCTTTGGGAGGTGATTTATGACTTAGGAGCGTGAACGGAATTGGTTTTGGAGGTCCGGTGTAGAATTAGGCTTGAATTGGCGAAGTTAGTATTTTGGCGATTTCCGGTTGGTAGGTGAGATTTGATCCGAGGGTCGGAATGGAATTACGAGAGTTGCTGTAGCTTGTATTGTCATTTGGGATGTGTGTGCAAAATTTCAGGTCATTCGGATGTGGTTTGGTTGGGTTTTTGATCAAAAGTGTGTTTCGGAAGCTTTTGGAAAGCTTAGGCTTGAATTCGATGTGAATTGATGGATTTGGTGTTGTTTGAGGTGTTTTGATGATTGGAACAAGTTTGAATAAGGTTTTAGGATGTGTTGGTACTATTGGTTGAGGTCCTGGGGGCCTCGGGGTGATTTCGGATGGCTAACCGGAAGAATTCGAACTTATGAAATTTCACAAAATTTGCTGCTTCTGGTATTTTCGCACCAGCGGCTTGGGAACCGCTGGTGCAGTTCCGCACGTGCGAGGGAGGAGACCGCATATGCGAGAGATAGTTTGATGGGCAGTTTCAGCAGAAGCGGTCAAGGAGGCCGCATCTGCGAAGCCGCAGATGCGGAAGGGCTGTCGCAGAAGCGACTTCTGGATTTTTAAGTGAGTTCCACAAAAGCGGACTTGTGACCGCAGAAGCGGTGGAGGGGTCGCAGATGCGAAAACCCCTGGGAAGCCTCTATATAAATCCTTTCTTCGCGATTTTTGAAGGGTTTAACCATTTTAACTTCGGATTGAGAGCTTTTGGTCGATTTTGAAGGGAGATTTCAAGAGAACTTCGATAAGGTAAGGGTTTTGGACCTAAAACACACTTCTATGGTAATATTTCATGGATTGGGACTGAAATCTAAGGAATTTAAGGACTAAAAATGGAGGTTTAGGGCTTGAGTTTAAGAGGGCTTAAATTGAGGATTTGAGGGGTCAATTGAACTCCGATTCTTGTGTTTTTGATATGTATGAACTCGTGGAGTGATAAGAAACCCGTTGATGTAAAAATTTCTGAGTATCAAGAAGTGGGCCCGGGCTCGGGTTTTGCTAATTTCGGGATTTTTGATATTTTTCGATTGTTTTCGCTTGGGCTTTGCTCCCTTAGCATATTGTGACGTATTCGTTCTGATTTTAGATAGATTCGCGCGCGCGTGGAGGCCGATTCGAGGGGCAAAGGCGTCGCGAGCTAGAGATTTAGCCGGTTCGAGGTGAGTAATGATTGTAAATGATGTTCTGAGGGTTTGAAACCCCGGATTTGGACATCATAGTGCTATATTGAGGTGACTTGCACGCCGGATAGCGAGCGTGGGGTAGAGCACCGTTGGGGATTGTGACTTGGTCCGTCCCAATTGATGAATTTACCGCGTATTTGACTGAAACTTACTTGTTATCATCATGATTTGGCCCTATTGCCATATTTGGGCTTCGTGCCAACTATTTGAACCCTTCGGGGATTTTTATCACTAGTTCCTCACTATGTTGACTTATCACTTGAACTCAGTCCTGTTGATATCTATTGTTTTGCAAACTCAGCCACTTGTACTCCGATTTGAAACTTAAATGATATTTAAATGATGTTTTGGGCTAAGAACTTCTGTTTTACTAATGCCCGAGGGGCTAGTGATGATATTCGGATCGAGTGAGGCCGAGGGCCATGTGTGAGGATATGCTGAGTGATATCAGGCCGAGGGCCTGAGATACATTATACGCCACGAGGTGGCTTGAGTGATGTGAGGCCGAGTGCCGAGTGCCGAGAGATGATGCCACGAGGTGGCTTGATATAGCGCTTGGGCCGTAAGGGGCCCCTCCGGAGTCTACACACCCACAGTGAGCACGTGTACCCATTGTGATCTTAGAGTGAGTCCGAGGGGCTGATATTGTCTGAGAGTGAGCCCGAAGGGCTGATACTATTCTGAGAGTGAGCCCGAGGGGCTGGTTCTGTTTTGAGATATTTCCCAAGGGGCGAACATTTATGTGTTCATCTTTCATATTTACTTGTCATTTTACTTGTTACACTGCGGTATTTGTGCCCGAAAGGCGGATTTTCTGTGCTTATCGGCACTAACTGTTTTGCATTCATTTGTGTAATTACTGAAAAAGTCATTTTCAAAAGAGGTTTAAACTGAGCTAAGATGTTTCTAAAGAATTTCACAACTTCATTGTTTTTCTCAAAAGGGTTTTACACTGCTTCTATACAGCATGTTGGTTTGCTTTACGTGATTTCTTACTGCTCAGTTGTTATTTACCTTTATTACTCACTGAGTTGGAGTACTCACTTTACTCCCTGCACCTTGTGTGCAGATGCAGGTATTTATACACCCGGTAGCGGGTTTTTGGCTGATTGGAGGCAGGGTTATCGGAGTTTAGCGAGGTGGCTGTCAGCATTCGCAGCACCGCTTTTCTCCCTTTTCGTTCATCAGTCCTGTTTTGTATATTTCAGACCTTGTAGTTGTATTTATACTATAATAGATGATCATGACTTGTGACACCCCGGTTTGGGCTGTGTTGGGATGGTGCTACTATTATTATCTATGTTTCCGCAAATTTATTGCTATTAAATCATGCTTTAAAAACTATTTTATGGTAATTAACTGCTTAAGAGGTGTGTTGTATTGGTCTGGCTGGCCTTGTCTTCACGAGAAGTGCCATCACGACCGGGTTAGGGGTTAGGGTCGTGACAAGTTGGTATCAGAGCCTAGGTTACATAGGTCTCACGAGTCATGAGCAGGTTTAGTAAAGTCTCGCGGATCGGTACGGAGACGTTTGTATTTATCCTCGAGAGGCTGCGGAACCTTTAGGAAAACTTCACATTCTTGAATTCTCATCGTGCGTCCTTGATTCAACATGAAAAGTAACTCCTACAATTCCTTCCACGCGTTCGCATGCGTGCATGAGCGCTTCGTATCAGATGTGCCTTGATGGCTTGTGATTCCCCGATCGAGGGGCGAGATGTGATCTCTGTGAGTTTATGTTGGGCCAGTCTGGAGGACTTGAGGCCGGATCTTTGCCTATGGCTTGACCACCGAGGTGCT